ACCTTCAGGACAGATCTTGGCATAACATCTTTCAAGTTTTAAAGAAAACAACTTCCGACCCCATCTATACCAGCAAAGTAATCAGCCACAGTAGAGAGAGAAAGGAAACTTTCCATGACAAAAACAGACTGAAGGAATTCACTAAACCAACTCTGCAAAGGGTACGGGAAGGAATTCTTTGGACTGAATAGAAAGACAAACACACCCACAGGCCTTGCAAACCACTTTAGATGAATAGGTAAGCAAGAATAGGAAACACAAAATTCTACAAAATCAACAAGATGACAAGACATAAATATACAGCACTCAAGTATCACTCTAAATAGTTATGATCTCAATTCCACCACTGAAGACATAGATCAATAGAGTGTATTAAAATGCAAGACTTATCTTTTTTTTTGTCTTCAAGAACCTTATTTCATAAAACACAAATGCTACCTTAGGGGACAGGATAGAAAAATGTATTTTGAGAGAATGGAAGCAGGAGCCAAACAGGTGTTACTTTTTTATTATCTGACAAAACAGACTTTAAGTCAAATCTACTCAGAAGAGATAAAAAAAAAGGGGGGGGCTCTCCTTATCGATTAAGTAAACAATCCACTAAGGAGACATTACAATCCTGAACATTTCAAGTGCAGGTATCTCTAATTTCATAAAACAGGTCCCAGTAATTGTAAAGTCAGAAGCATAACAACAGTGGTAAATTATGAGAGCCCATCCTAATCAACTGACAGGAGATCACAGACTGGATGGATTTAACAGACATCTATCAAGTATTCCATCTAAGCACTGCAGAAAATGCATTTTCCTCAGGAGCCCACAGAATTTACGTTTAAACCAGATATTCTATTAGGACAGAAATTGTGTCTTAACAAGTATAGGGAAACTGAAAAAGCTCCTGAGTTCCATCTGACCACAATGAATGGACTAAAATGGTGGATCAACAGCAAGAGAAAGTACAGAAAAGTTGCCTCAAATGATGGACTGGTCAATGACGATGAGATGAAGAAAGGAATCCAGAGTTCTTAGAATAAAAATAAACCAAAACACCAAAACAAAAATTTAATGACACACCTGAGGGACTTGGGAAAACCAGAAAGGCCGAACTCAAAGTCAGGTTGGAAGAAATAATTAGATCAGGGCAGAAATTAATAAAATGCAAATGAAAAACACCAAGAGTTAATGAAAAAAGGAGTTGATTAAGTTAAATAAGATCAACTAAATTTGCCAAAAACATGAGAGAAGGACTCGGATTAATAAAATCAGAGATGAAGGGTGAGCCATTATGACAGATATCAATGAAATTCAGAAATTCAGAAAATTGTTGGGATATATATATATACTGTTAAATTGGGAAAATCTAAAAGAAACGGATGAATATTTAGATGTATATAACCTACAAAAACTAATGCAACATTAAATAATAAACAGTTGCATAACAATCGATAGAATTAATATAGTAATAAAAACGCTTGAATTAAAAAAAAATGTAGCCAAATTGAGCCTTCCTCAGTAGGAAACACTTAATAAAATTAGTTGCCTTTTAATGAAAATTTAACCACCAAATAAAGGAGAGGAAGAAGACACTAAGCTTAATTCTCTAGAATAAAACCTTAACCCAGCCCTTGTACACCAAAACACATTTAAACAAGTATATAAAAATCAGGTGAACATCAACTATGTGCAGTTTACAACAGATTCAGACAGTCTTTGTACAATTTTTAAAAAGCCTGTTTACTACTATACTCTACCAGATCTTCAAAGAACCAATACAAGGCTTCTCAAACTTTTCCATAAAATAGTAAAAGACAGAACACGACTAAACTCATTTTATGAAGCTATAGTTATCCGGACACCAAAACTACATAAAGACACATGAAAAAGAAAACTATAGACCAATCTACTTGATGAAAATAAACCCCCAGACCTTCAGAAAACATCAATCATTTTTAGAAAGAATATTGAAAGAGTGCAATATTAAGATCTTCAGATCACTGTCATAATGAAACTTATTATTACATATAATGAATATATGCTATTACACTTAATCCACTTCCAATTTACTGGTTTTAGCATACTAATGAAACAGCTTTCTATTGTGATTATCAAACTTGGTTTAAAATTCATATTACAGAAAGAGCACTTTGCCTGATTGCTAAAGTATGTTATTAGAGTCTGAAGGTCATTGCCTGCTGCCTGCACAAGAAAAAGAACTTAGACACAGTTTAGGACAGAGTTTGTCAGAAAAAAAAAATATTCAGCTTTCTTCTGCCTTGCTTTAGTCATGTTACCATGGGAGGGGGTGGCAGCAGGAAATGCACTTATGTAGATAATACTGCAATGAAGGGACTCTTTGGTAGGAATCCCTGAGTCCATTATATACCATGGGCAATGTCCTGAAACTTCTGGAAAGTTCCAAGAAATGCCCTTGAGGAGGATAAAGGAGAAATTTGTTCTATATTCAGTGAATTTTAACCTTATCTTTATTAGAGCAGGTGACTACAAATTGCAATTACATCACATAACCACAAGATGACAATGTGTATTTTCGGGACTATGACTATAATTTTGGTGGGATTTTGCCTGTAAGCTTCTGTTTGATTTAACTTTCCTTATCTTCCCCTATCCTTTAGTGCTTGAATTATAATAACTTTAGAGTATATCAAAATTTCTCTCAGCTTCATATTATATGGGACCTGTCCAGTCAGTAATTCTAAAAATGTCATGTGGTCTATAAAGAGTATTTAAAAAAAAGTACATATATAATTCAGCTTGAATAAAAGGATTTCTTCAAATCACATTCATTAGTATTTTAGGTATAATTAATCCACATTATTCATTATATTTGCTGGATTAGAAGTTCAGTGAACCCTTGAATTGGGTAATTATTTTTGTCAAGGAACAAGACCATAACTGTATTATTAAAAAAAAAAAAAACTTTAATATACATGCAAAAAATATAGTACATCAAGGCAACAAAATACACATGGAAAGAGACATAATTCAGCATTCTTTGAAGGGTTCTGGAAAATAAAGACTACCACTGAAAATTAAAGGTTGAGGCACACACTGTTTATTCATGCAAACATTTATAAACTGCCTCTGGTTTGAAATGAACTGCAGGAACCTGAATTTCATAGTAGCAGATGAATTTTATACCAAAGCCACTATCCTCAGGTGTCATGTCTCAGCCTGTGGTTTGCAGCAGGGTTACATGCACAAACTAGCATTTCTATCTGACAAATCTGAAAAAGTGTACCAACTAGGGAATCTTGCATTGCCTCCTACTTTATAAAAAAATGTATCAAAAAATTGTAACAAGGCTTTAATATATGAAAGAATCAAAACTGTCAGGTGAGAGCAGGTCAGGATGATAAAGCATTAAGCATTTAGTTCTTAGGAAAGTGGAGGCATATGTATGACCAGCCTGAAATTCTCCAATTTCTCCTGACCATCTATTTCCTCATTCCCTCCCTCAGGCCCAAGGTTTTCATCCTCTATCCCCATACTAATTAAAAGTGGCTTTGGACGCTGTGTTTTTAATATAGTGTACACTATTCAGAACAGCTGGAGGTGTTACTTTTTCCAAGAATGTATGCATCTGTGCAAGTATTAAAGCTTTCAGCTATGGGAAAAAAGCTCTCAGCATGTTCTGAAACATCCAATACAAAATCTGTCATGAGCTCCCAAGCCTCGTTTGCCCCAGAAATGACTATGTGTATACTGCCTCCCTGTAAGACTGAATCACACCACTATTAATTACTTCATATTCCACATCATGAGACTAAGCTCCAAGCATTTCCAAGAACCTCCAATCCCTACACTTTGGACACACAGTCTTATAGGAGGACCAACTTCCTCCATGTCAGAGCTGCTAGGTTTGAATATGAAAATTAACAAACAAAAACACCTCATGAAGTCCGCAGTAAGTTTTGTGACGTCTTCATGTAAACAGCATAGAAAACTTCTTTGGCACACTTGTTTTCCTCATCACTCACTACAGAAAACATATTTCATACATTTTCAATATGGTGTGATTTTTAGGGACATGTGTAGCTGTTTTAAGAACTACAAAAAGATTTGGAAATATGGCTATTAAAAAAAAAAACACTTTTCCCATAGACATAGGATTTTTAAACACTGAGATCAGTTTTTAAAATGAGGTCATGGTATAATTATAAAGGGTGTGACACATCCAAGGTGTAATTAATTATTGCACACGGGGGAGATAACATTGTAGCTCAGATGTATATTCAGTCAGGTATGCTGGTCACACAGGAGTTCTCCATTTAAACGTTTCTCAAATCCTTAGTTACACTGGAAATTCTGATTTAAATGCCACCTTTCCAACATCTGTTTTGCATTTTGGAATGGTTCCGACCTCTCAGGCACACCTGATAACGTTTTAAGATCGATAATTTAAAAAGAAAATCCTGAGAAGATGCATCTAAGAAATGTATTCATTTTCTTAGATATAAAATGTTTTTCTTAGATATAATATGTTTTTCCTACATACCTTACTAATTAATTCAGCAAATGCCTAAAAAGGTACATAGTTGCAAAACTGTGAAATGCTAAAAGTTGGTACCCAATGATAAATGTTAAAAGGAAAACTAAAGAAGCCATTGTGGTTCTGTGGCCGGGAGCCTGCTCCTGTACAAACACATTGTGTGGACACTGGAACTTAGGAAATACTTAACGAAATTAGTTGTCTTCTGTGCAAATTTAACCACCAAATAAAGGAGTGAAAGAAGCACTCATTTTAAGTCTTGAACAAAACCTGAGCCCAGCCTCTGCACCAAGATGAATGTAAACAAACAAAGATATAAAAATTATTTAACAACTTTGTACAGTTTACAATGGATTCAGGCCTTTGAAAGATTCTTTAAAGCCATTTCAATTTCAAACACCTTCAATGACAAACGTAAGATTTTTAAAAAAGAAAAATGGCAGACTATTTTCCCTCAGACTTTACATGGGCTGGGCTGACATTTCCAAACAACAAAATGCCACACGTGTTCCAGAATAATATAAAATTTCAAACATCTCTCCAGCAGTCAAACTTATGGAAACTGAATATATACAATACAGAAACTTTGGGTTTTTCCGTAGTCTTTCAGGATGGAGTTCGGCCTGGACTTGTCATCTCAGCTGTGGGGCTAGCAAGGCAGTCATTGGATTTTAGGCTCGTGAGGGATTTGTAGCTTGCCACTGATGTTAGTGACCCACAGAGACCAAGCAGTGAGGGAGTATCTTCTTTACCTGATAGTTAAGATAAAAATCACACAGAAGTAACAGCCTTCATGAATCACACAGCGAGACCATAAATCCATGAAAAACTCCCATAGCTGGGGAAATCCTTGTAGGTCTCTGGACATTTCTCTAGAGTCAGTTTTCTATTCAAACCTATATTGACTCCTTCTATTATGGTTATCTCTTTTTTTGCTCTCATTTATTCGTCCCCTGACTCAGTCTTCCTGTGACCCCCCCAACTAACAATCTGAGCAACAATGGAGAGGCTACCTTAAATGCCCTTCCCTGATAATGAGATTGATAACTAATTTACATGCTGTCATAGAGCCCTCATCTAGAGGCTGATGGAAACAGAAGCAGACACCCAAAGTTAAACACTGAGCCAAACTCCAGGAATCCAGTTGCAGAGAGGGAGGAGTGATAAGAAAAGAGTTCAAGACCAGGCTACAGAAGCCCACAGAGATAGCTGACCTGAACAAGACTGACAGCTGGGAAACGAGCATTAGACCAACTCAGACCTCCTGAACATGGGTCTCAGTTCGAAGGCTTGGGCAGTCTAAGGGACCTCTGACAGAGGAACCAGGATGTATCCCTGGTGCACAAAAGGACTTTGGGAGCACATTTCCGGTGGAGGGATACTCCTTTAGTCCTAGAGACACGAGGTTTTAATGATCCCTCCTGGAAGGCCTCACCATCCCTGTGGAGTGGGTGGGGAATGGGATAAAGGGGGCTCGTGGGGCATGGGAGGGAAGGAGAGGGAACTTTCCACTAAACATGCCCAGTGAAAAGCTGGAGATGAAGAAGTTCTAGAATTAAGCATTCACGACTAGCCTGAGGAATGGTTTGATTTCTCAGCAGGCTGTCATAATAAAATAAAATAAAATAAAAGCCAGACAGTGGTGGAGCATGCTTTTAATCCTAGCACTAGGGAGGCAGAGGTAGGCAGATCTGTGAGTTGAGGCTAGCCTGGTCTACAGAGTGAGTTCCAGGATAGCCAGGGCTACACAGAGAAACCCTGTCTCAAAAAATGATAGATAGATAGATAGAGAGATAGAATGAGTAAAATATTCTGAGACTACTATGAATAACTAAAGTCCCCTTTATTCTTTTTTACAGGTAGACAGGGAAAGGAGATAATTTAAAAAAAAAAAAAAATGTATGCTTAAAATTCTAAAAGAAGCAATGAAAAATCTGAAAAAAAAAACTGAGAAAATAATTTGATTTATAATATAATACAAAAGAATGGCATACATAGAAGTAAATTTAACCAAATAATGAAATACTTATACACTTAAAAAATTTTTTTCCCCATATGTAGCTTATTCAGGACAGACTGACAAAGGCTATTCGGGCTTAATGAGAGCAACTCTCCTAACGGTGAGTGGAAATAATACAGAGATCTATGACTGCAAATGCTGAGAATCAAAAATAATGAAGGGCTCATCCCTGATTAAGATACTTATACCACTTAGGGCTCAAGTAAGGGGGAGCCTGTGAAATGCCAACTCCTCAACACAAGGTCAAAGCAATCATGTGAACAACTCTGAGCAAATGTGCCTACTGGCACTGGGTCCACACATGTTGTGGCCTCCCAGCAGTCAGCCATGGAAAGGAAGAAGCTCACAGGGTCCTACACTGGTCTACTGGCAACATAATGGATTCTGGGAGAAGAGTCAGAGACATAGCATCTACTTGTAAAGGCCCCAGGGAGCAAGGAGTCTCTGATGGATAGTTATAAACACAGGGGCGTTCACACAGCCCTAGTTAAACTCTGTGAGACACAAAACAAACAACAGTAATTATTATGAGAAAAAGATCTGTAAGGAAGGGGAGGGGCCTGCAGGTATGGGAGGAAAATGAGAGGCTGAAGGGGTAACCAATATTTATTAAAACATGTATGTGATTATCAATAAACACAATTTATTAAAAATACACTTTGATTATACTTAATTATTATTTATTTACAAATGTGTGGGACATGTTTATAATCCCAGAGACCAGAGTCAGAGTCAAAAGGATTACAAATTTAAGGTTGGTGTGGGCTACAGAAGAAACTTTGTTCTTAAGGCCAGATATGTTAAACTACTCACTAATACCAAAGCCATTTCCTTCCTGTCTTTGTTAGGGTTACTATTGCTGTGATGAAACGAAACACCATGATAAAAGCAATTTGGGAGGTGAGGGTTTGCTTGGCTTATACTTCCATAACCTAGTTTATCACTAAAGGAAGTCAGAGCAGGAACTCAAAACAGAGTAGGAACTTGGAGGCCTGAGCTGATGCAGAGGTCACAGAGGGGAGGTGCTTACTGGCTTGCTCAACCTACCTTTTTACAGAACCCAGGACCAGCAGCCCAGGGATGGCACCACCCACCATGGCTGGGCCCTCCTTTATCGGTCACTAATGAGGAAAATGTCCTATGGGCTTGCCTACAGCCCAAATTTTTCGAGGCATGTTGTGGGACATTATTTTAAGGTGTGTTATATTTGTATATGCTGTGGAACATTTGCTTAATGTGTTGCAGTCTTTTATGTTTCACTTGTTTAACGCTGGAAGCTGTGATTCTTTGCGTGTCTAAAACACCTGATGGTCTATCCCTTGTGCACAAAAGGACTTTGCGAAACATCCCCCATGGAGGGATAACTGCCTTAATCTAGAGACAGGAGGGAAGCCCTAGTCCTTACTTCACATGACCTATCAAATCTACATGATCCCAACTGGATGGCATTCCCCTACATATGGAATCAGGGTGGGGGGATGAGAGGGGAGGGTGGTTAGAGTGCATGTGAGAGGGCAGAGAGGGTAAAAGGGACGGAAGGAGGGAAGGAGGGAGGGAAGGAGGGAGAGGGAACTGGGATCCACACGTAAAATAATAAATTAAATTAAAAAAAAAAATTCTTTGACTCCAAAATTTAAGTTGAAGGACAAGTTACAGGGGAAAAGGATTTCTATTTTTGTTTCCACAGAAAATGAAAAGATGTGGATTCCTTCCAGACTAATGTGGTTTGATCAAGCCAGACCGCCTGAAACAGAGTAAGAGGTGATCCTACATTCAAAACAGCTGGACAAAGCAGCCTTACAGACTACAGCCAGGATTTCTGAATCTTCTTCGAATCCCCCACGACAGTGCCCCTTACCAACAGGAAGTAGTTTGGAAAGAACAACGCCCATATTCCCAAATATTGTGTATAAATGTTTGTTTTCATTTAAATGGACTTTGTTATATAAAATAAATTTTAAAAAATTTAAAAAAAAAAACAAAAAAAAAAAAAAACACCTGGAGAGCAGAATGGCCAATAGCAAGGCAGGAGAAATGATAGGCAGGGCAGGCAGGGAGAATAAAGAGGAGGAGAAATCTGGGAAGGAGGAAGGATCAAGATAGAACAGGAGATAGAGAGGAGAAAGTCAGGGTCCAGCTCCCTTGACACTTAGCTAGCCACAGTGTAAGAGTGAAAGTAAGTGACACAGAGGAAAAGGAAAAAGCCTAGAGGCAAAGGTAGTCAGTATTATTGAATTTAAGAAAAGCTGGCTCCTGGAATCCAGTTGCAGAGGAAGGAGTGATGAACAAAGGGTTCAAGACCAGGCTGGACAAACTCACAGAAATAGCTGACCTGAACAAGTGGGAACTCATGGATCCCAGTCTGACAGCTGGGAAACCAGCATAGGACCAAACCAGGTCCCCTGAAGGTGGGTCTCAGTTAGGAGGCCTGGGCAGTCTATGGGGCCTCTAGCAGTGGAACAAGGATGTATCCCTAGAACTTCAGGAATTTCCCATGGAGGGTTACTTCTATAGCCTAGAGACATGGGGGAGGGCCTAGGCCTGGCCCCAAATGACTTGACAGACTTTGAATACCCCTCATGGAAGGCCTCATCCTCCCTAAGGAGTGGTTGGCTGATGGGATGGTCAGTGGGGGGGGCATGGGAGGATGGGAGAGAAAACTGGGATTGGTATATAAGATTGTTTCTCATTTAAATAAAATTTAAATATAAAAAACAATTACATGACAAACAGATAATTAAAAAAAAAAGAAGAAGAAGAAAGAAAAGAAAAGCTGGCAAGCAAAGGCTGGGTGTTTATTAAAAAAAAAAGAGTAAGATTTCAGGTGTCATTGTGTCATTTACTCCAGGGGGTGGGGGAGGAACAAAAGAACAAAGAATAAACAATCAACAACAGAGACATTTTCTTAATTGTGGCTCTCTCCTCTCAAATGACTTTAGCATGTGTCAAGCTGGCATAAAACTAAGAACACACTTACCTTCACCAATGAAATTGAATGAGTCTTGTTTCCCATCTCCTTCTTGTGAATGGCTGGGATCCAGTGAGGCCTGAGAAAGGCTAACTTCTGCTGATAACTGTTCAAGGCTTTGGTAACTTTTACTGAAATAAGGATAAAAAAAATATATTGAAATTTTTTTCTCACTAAAGAGAATATCTTGTGATAGTACTTAATGGTTTATAATGCATTAAAATTATAACTAATTTTCTCATAGCAACTTCCCTAAAGTTTGCCTTTATCATGGTGTTTATGTGACTTCTCTTACCTACTTTGGAAGCTTCTCTGTATTGTTCATTGGAAAACAGAAAAGAATAATAATTTGTCAAGCAAATTAACATTATCAAATTGATTACCTATTCAGACAATTAAAATAGGAACTTCTAATCTAAGGAATACTACCAATAAAGAAACAAATGGCACCAGGCAGTGGTGGCCCATGCCTTTGACCCTAGCACTTGGGAGGCAGAGGTAGGTGGATCTCAGAGTTTGAGGCCATCCTGGTCTACAGAGCAAGTTCCAGGACAGCCAGAGAAATGTGATCTTGAAAAACAAACAAACAAAAAAAACAAAACAAAACAAACAAACAAAAAACAAACAAAAAACAAATGGCATAATTTAATGATGACTATTATTTCGAATACTTCGGGATTTTTCAGTGCCTCTGACAGCTGCTATGCAATAAAATAATTATTCTATATTCCTTCAATTTAAAAGTTTAAAAATGTTAAACTTAATGGCATAATAATTTGCCATTAAGACAATCTCCTTCCCTTGTCTGTTTGGTGCTTTAAGACCTTTTTGTATTGGGCTAATTACTTATAAATTAATTATATCAGAGAATATTTCAGTTAGAAATCAAAAGTTAATAAAAGCTTATTATTAACCTTTCCTCAAATTTCGTTTTCAGGATAAGGCCAACAAAAAAGGTTATTCAGGTTTGGTGTCTTTTGTAGTTCATGTAAAATCAGAACTGATCACTGTTTACCAACACAAGCACACTAAGAAAAAGTTTTTCAAGATGAATGTCTTTCATATAGTAGTCAAATCCTATATAAAATCCACAAATATATATTTTATAACATTTACAGGGAAGCACATATGAATCAAATTATCTCTTTTTATAGTTGTCATCAGCAGACACAAAAGTGTTTTGAAATCTGGGTACAGTGACACATGTCTTCAATCTTAGCACTTGGGAGGCAGAGGCAAATGGACTTCTGTGCATTCAAGGCCATCCTAGTCTACATAGCAGGTTCCAGGCCACTCAGAACTACAGCATGGGACCCTGTCTGAAGGAAAGCATTTTGAATACTTATGTACAGATATTATCTTAAGCTGTTAGGACTCTTAACTAAAAAGAAGAGGAAATAGAAAAGTATTCCTTTACTAAAAGTAGATTGTATATTAACAATATCTTGAACACAAATTACATTAATAATAACAACCAATACAATAACAACAACAAAAGGCAGGAGCCAATAAGTTTACTAAAAATAATAATTGCTATAAATTGGTTCTGTATTTATTTCCCATCAGTCTTATTAAGATAAAATTTTATAGTCTGTTGTGGTGATGGAATGCATTTATTAGGGATGAAGAATGAGATGGCAGAGTGACTTTACTAACCTACTTAATATAATGTTCTCAATTTACCTTATTTTATTTTTTAAAAAGATTTCCTTATTTATTTATTGTGCAGACAGACTGCTGTCTGGATGTTTGCCTTCATACCAGGAGAGGGCATCAGATCTCATTATTGATGGCTGTGAGCCACCATGTGGTTGCAGGGATTAAATTCAGGACCTCTAGAGCAGCCAGTGCTCTTAAGCTATCTCTCCAGTCCCTGTTCCTAATATATAATAAGATGGCTTCTCAAATGTTTAGCATATAAAAGTCCTTAGTGATAATTTTAAATTGGGAAACTTCTGATATAGCAGATAATACATCTATAATCTATATGCTATACAAGAAAGTGATACCCAATATTTGTAAAGCACTTGCACCTGCTACAATACAGTGCTATACATTTAAATTAAATTTATATGCCAGATACTTGTATGAGCATATGTACACTATAAAATTTTATAGTACCCTAGGAAGTTATATTATTATTACCTCTATTTTGTTGAAAGAAAACAGGGTCCCACTTAGACTAAACAACCCTAGCAGTTTGGCACTGGATGTAACTATTCCTCTAGCTACTGTCATACCCACTCTAGCCTCAGGAAGAAGGATCTGCCTTCCTATGTCATTAGGGAGTCTTCTCAACTTGGCTTTCATTAAAGTCATATTTTCTTGGCTATAGATGATGGTAAGAATGTCACAGTTTGTTTTTATGTGTGTATGTGTGTCTGTTTACACCTGTGCATCATACATCACAGCAGGGCTCTGACCGAGTTTTACTATAGGCCTCTCCATGTTACTTGAGATGAGGCTGCTCCCTGACATGGAGGCTTGTTGTTTTGGGGCAGCTGACTGTTAAAATCCAGCCCCAAGCTATGCTTGGGTTACAGATAGGAGCAGCTGCTGTGGAATATTTCTTTACACCATGTGAAGACATGTTACTGTGACAGGTTTAATAAAAAGCTCAATGACTAATAGCCAGGCAGGATTTCTTAGGCAGAGAGGACTCTGGGAAGAAGAGAGACAGAGACTCTAGGAGACAGAGCAAACAGGATGGACCTTCTGGAGATGAGGTAAGGATGCCATGAGGGAGGAAATAAAATAATAGAAATGGGTTAACTTTAGTTGTAAGAGCAAGTTAGAAACAAGCCTAAGCTACTGGCCAAGCTTTCATAATTAATGTAAATCTCTATGTCATGTTTTTGTGAGCTGATGGCCCAAACAAAAGCCTGACTACAGCAGCCATGTCCAGCTTTTCAACAGGGGTGCTGGGAATTCAAACTCAGGACCTCATGCTTACAGACTCAGCACTCTTAGCAACTAAGCCACCTTCCCAGTCTAGAACACAGGATTCTTTTTTTTTAATTTTATATAACAAAGCCCAATTAAATGAAAACAAACATTTATACACAATATTTGGGAATTTGGGCGTCGTTCTTTCCAAACTACTTCCTGCTGGTAAGGGACTGTCATGGGGGATTCGAAGAAGATTCAGATGTCCTGGCTGTAGTCTGTAGGGCTGCTTGTCCAGATTAGAACACAGGATTCTAAAGGGTAATTTTAAACATTTCTTCACAAATTATTTTCTATGTTCAACACATAAAATTCTCACCTTTAAACTGATGGCTTAAGATGAGTTTCTGGCATTTTTTTTTCATTATAAGAAATGTATTAATATTTTCAATTTAAATTCATATGCAGAAACATTTGAAAACAAAAGACAGGAATTTATTGAATACCTTAACAGAGTTTGGCAGCACATACTTACAATAATCTTCAGTTGTGCCACTTACTGGAGGGAGGGAACTTTGAAAGAGGCCCTAAGAATTACAATGCTGGATGAGCTTCCCATAAAGCTGAAATTCAGAGGAACTTATGTTGAACCTTTTTAATTTTTCCCAGTTAGTATCAAATTTTGAGTTTATAGTTGCTACTTAATCAAGGGAAAGGAAGGGAAGAAGTAGGAAACAATGATGGTTTAGAACAACAAGTATTTCATCCCAAAATCTCTTTATTCATAAGATATTAGTAACATTACCTGACTATACTCTGCCTCCCTTATTATAGATGAGTACAAACCCACCAGCAGGAAGGAGACTTCACCTTCAGATGATGAAGAATGGTGTTTAGATTACATATTCTTACCCGATTTCTAATGACACATCCTCATAAACATTTGTAGGTTTGTAGGAAACTATCCATAGGAGTTCTGCTAAGTCCTGAGAATTCTAGATTCATTAACATAAGATTTAATGTAGCCAAAGGGACACGTCAACTAATAACATACTGCTGCTCCCCAGAACAGAATTTTTAAAATATAAGTAGTTTAAGGGCATAAAAATGAGAACCCAGAGCAGCGAGAAGCACACCTTCTGGAAAAGAACTTGTAGTTTATTACATGTCACTAACAATAATTTAAACCAGAAAGAATGGTATCATATGTCATGGGTAGTTATATATTTGCTCAAAAGTCAGTAATTCATGTTATCTGGTATTCACTGAACAACACTCCATATGATACAAAAATGGAAGTGAGTATTATTTACAAGGAGAAATTGTGTACATGATCAACACAATCCACAGACTCAGAGAGGCTAAGAAACAAGGAGGGTTATGGGGGGACAGACAGATTTCCAGGGAAGGGGAAATAGAACAGAGTTTGTGGGTGGACTGTGGGCAGGTGGGGATGGGAACAGGAGGGAACAGGAGGGATCAGGTGGGGAGGGGACAGAGAAAGAGAGTTCAAGGAGAGATGACTGGAATTGGGGGTCATTTAGGGAAAGATAATGGAAACCCAGTACAGTGGAAACTACTTGGAATCTATGAGGGTTACTACAGTGAGGACTCCTAGTAACAGGAGTACAGAGCCTGACCCAGCCATCTTCTGTAACCAGGCCCAGGCAAGACTTCCAGTAAGGGACTGAACACCAACCCAGCCTCAAAATGCTCAACCCACAATCTGTCCTGGCTCCAAGATGTGCTGGGTGAAGGGTAGTTCAGAGCTTATGAGAGAGGCCATCCAATGACTTGTCTAACTTGAGACCCACACCAGGAGAAGAAGCTCATGCCCCATGCTCCTTGGAAGGCCAGGATCCTACCACTGACCTAGGATAAAACCAACCAAGTCTGGCCATAGGGGCGGGGGTCAAGAAGTCAATAAAATGACTCTTAACAATGTTCTGCTATACTCATAGATGAGTGCCTAGCCCAATGCCATCAGAGAGGCTTCATCTAGCAACTGTGGGAGGAAATGTACAGACACACAGGAAGTACTGTAGGAGCCAGAGGGTGGAGGTCACCACAAGAACATGACCCACAGACATCAATTAAGCAGGGCTCATGGGGCTCACAACTGACATGACAACTGCAGAGCCTGCATGTCCTCTGTATATGCTGTGATTGTTTAGTTTTTTTTTTTTTTTGTTTGTTTGTTTTTTGAGACAGCATTTCTCTGTGTAGTCCTGGCTATCCTGGAACTCACCCTGTAGACCACATTGGCCTTGAGCTCAAAGAGATCCACTTGCCTCTGCCTCCCAAGTGCTGGGAATAAAGGCATGCATCATTACCACATCATTATCTTGGGGTTTTGTGGAACTCCTAACAGTGGGGGAATGAATGTCTCTGATTCTTTTGCCTGCTCTAGGGACCCTTTTCTTCCTACTAGGTTGCTTCATCCACCCTTGATAATGTGTTCAGTTGATATCCCTGAGAAGCCTGCTCTTTTCAAGGGAAGCAGAGGAACAGTGGATTTGGGGGAGAGTAGACGTGGGGTGGGGCTGTGAGGAGCGGAGGGATGGGAGGCTGTTGATGGGCTATATTGCATGAGAGAAGAAGACAAAAAAGAATTCATGTACATGATATTCACAGGCATATATATGTACATGTAAACAGAAAAGCTATTTTTAATTCTTGTTTATCTTAGGGACATGTTAAAATAATAAAATTGTTGGGGCTGAAGAGAAGGCTCAGCAGCTGAAGAGCATTCACTGGTCGTCTAGAGGATCCAGGTTCAATTCCTGGCACCCACATGGCATCTCCCAGCTGTAACTCCAGTTACTGGGGTTGTGGCACAACAGACACATGCACACAACACACACAAAAGTCACCATCACTTCTTTTGCTTGCAAACTTTAACAGCCAGTTTCGTATTCAAATGGAAACCTAATTCAGGCCTATATTTTAGTAACAGTAACAACAAGCCAAGTTTCCACCAACCCAGAGGGCCAGCTTATCACATCACCCCCCCCCATACAAGACCAATGCCTCTTCCCTCCACATTCAAGGGAGGGTCACACTTAAACAGAACCAATCAGATATTATCTCTCTTTTGCTTTCTTTCCTTTATATAAGCCACTGCTCTGCTGCTGGGTGGGTGTTATCCAAACCTGCCCAGTGCTGCCTCATTCACTAATTTGCCAGTAGCTCAAATAAGTGCGGTTAAGCCCAACTCATCCCAAGCTTGCTTCTGACACTTTCTTCTTGAATACATCTTAGGCTAGTTGTTAAGAGTAATCTACTAGATCTTTGGGCATTGCACATCCTTTGCAGGAGAAGCTTATTAATACCAAAACAACTGAACTGTAAGGCCAGCTGTCAAGAGAGCTAGCAGTCCTTATTAAAAGAGACCTCACCATTCCCTCCATAATTTGTAGATTTTCACAAATGGTGAAAAGGTCTGCTCAGTTTTAATCATCTATAGAAAGCTCCCTATCCTGAAAATGCAGACCTTCACTTTTAAATGAAGTAACTGAGATTACATACTCTGAACTACTAAAGATAAATCAATTTTCGTTAAGATTCAGAAAGCATATCTTGGAATGTGAGATAGGTCTGCACTCCTTTGTATGGAAAATTAATGAAGAAAAACTCATGTCAACTATACTCACTGAGAAGTATTAAGTTCCAGAGGGTGCACTTGACTGTTAGACAGGCCTTATTTTGGTATTATAGATGCAGAAAGAGAAAGGGAAGGGAAGGAAATATCACACAGCAGTGGCTACTGACAACTACTGAGTCTGAACTCCAGGTCCAGCAGACCCTGTGCACTACAATGCTACACTTTTTGCTGAGGGTCATCAAAAATAGTAAGAACATAATGAGGATAAGTCAAGTTAATGGGATAATACTAGAAAAGGGCACTTTCCTTCCTCAGCTGATGTGAGTCAAAAAGCACAAACTAAATTCATGCTGGATAGACAGGCTGGTCCACTGCCTCCATTTCAAGACTGCTGAGATACTGCTTCATAAATGTGTTACCATTACACAGGAAGACATAAGCTAGCCATAGACATCCTCTGCTTGTCATTCTTTATTTTAAACCTTTATTGATTACTACAATTATATGTGTGTGAGTTTGGGTTCATTTCTGAGCCAGGCCCATTCTGGGTTCTTTATCTACCCAACACATAGGTAATGTGTGAATAGGTAAAAGCACACATCTACTGTCAAAATATTTTACCTTTTTATAATGATGTGTACATTGCAAAGAAAGTCTTATTTAGTTGCTTTATTAATGCAATTCCAGTGTGTGTGTGTGTGTGTGTGTGTGTGTGTGTGTGTGTGTGTGTTCATGTTTATATGTGTGGGTGTCAGTAGCATGGGCGCATATGGTTAGAGGTCTGAGATCAACCTTGGATGCTATTCCACAGGAGCTGTCCACCTTGGGTTTTGAAAACAGACCTGAGGCTTTCCAGCTAGGCTGGGCTGCCTTTTTAGTGAGTTCCAGAGATCCATCGTACTCTGTCTCCCCAAGACTAGAATTACAAGTATGACCAACGATACTCAGATTTTTACATGGGAGCTAGGGATAAAATATAGGTCCTCATGCTGGCATATTCAACACTTCAATGACTGAGCTCTGTCCACTGCCCTTGTCACAATAGTGAGCATGTGTACATATATGCATATGTATGTATCCATCTGTGTGTGCAATGATGTTCATATGCATACGTTTGGACAGGGTCTCTCACTGAACCTGGAGATCTTGGGTTGGACAAAACTAGCTGGCCAGTGGTTTGCAAGATCTCCCTATCTTTGCCTCCCCAGAGTTAGGATTATGTGTATGTAACACTTCTGACTTTGTATATGTGTGAGGGAGATCCAACCTCAGGTCCTCATGCTTACACGACTAGTTCATGAATAGTTCATCAACTGAGCCATAACCCCAGCATATCTCTGTAAATTTAAGAGTCTCCCATATGTCATATAAAAAAGTAAGTATACCATTTATTTCCATAAAGTATATCATAAATTTGATACAATAGACCAATACAAATATTGTTCTATCAATTCAGTATGACACTGAAAGCATAAGCTATAGTTACCTGAACTGTTTTTTTTTTTTTTTTTTTTTTTTTTTGAGACAGAGTTTCTCTTTGTAGCTCCGACATCCTTGAACTAGCTCCGTAGACTAGGTTGGCCTTAAACTCAAAGAGATCCACCTGTCTCTGCCTCCCAGGTGCTGGGATTAAAGACATGTGCCACCACCGCCCCCCCAGCTATTGTAAATTTTTATATGAGTATATAAAGAAACTCTGCTTGTCTATGGAATGCCCAAAGCCCCTTGAGTCAGATGAAATGGTTTAATAGATGAAAAGAATTCTGATTTATTCCACAAATAGTCTGTTCACCTCTACTTGCCTTTAACAATCAATAAGACATTGAAGAGCTCAATTTTCTAGTACTGCTTTTAATAACAAAAAGTCAAATTTAATTTGCACTCTATCCTTGTTAAACAACAATCCCAAACATCATGAGAATAAAGAAGGTGGAAGTTAGGCTTTTGCTAAAACATGTCTGTTCGAGTAACTAGTCAAAATGCAGAAAAGATAGATGAGTTCCAGACAGACAAACAGAAACACAGGAATCCTAAGAAGCCTAGGTAAAAATGTGTGACTCTGCCAGTGATTTCTAAGCACAAGGACATTCTAAGAAGAGTAGACAATGCAGGGGAGAGAAGGATGGAGAGAGAAAGAAAAAGAGTAAAAAAGAGAAATAGAAGGGACAGAGATAAAAGTGAAAGGGCCTTGGAGGGAAGATTAGGGAGAAAAGTTAGAAATTTAACTGAAGAGCAAATATAGCAGAAACAAATGATTAAGATAGAAAAGTGTTACAATCCAAAAGATGCTAATATAACTTGATTTTCAAAATGTAAATTATCTAAGATTTTTCATCTTATTCAATACCCATACAATGTGGCCAAATGAAAGGCTGAACATTAGGACAAAGAAATTACAGCTCAGAAGCAGAGTGATTGTATTATAGGTTCTAAAAAAATAGACTGATTAAAATGAACAAAATTCAGAACCTCTGAGAACTGGATGGATACTTTTAGGAGATGGAATATGGCATTTTAAAAAAAACAGTATGGAAAATTAATTTCAGGCTACTACATCTTAATGCTAAAATGTAAAAATAAATGCCTCATGAAAACAAGTGCATAGATACAATTGAAGACTGAATGGAAATATAACATAAGCAGGAGACAGCTGGTCTGGTACTATTACCTAGGAATCCCTTAGTTATTTTGCTGCACCAGGATGCCTTAGCTTCAAATGTTAAGACATCTGCTTCTTAAGGGACCTCATCAAAGGAGTCCTAAAGCCTATCTTTGCTAATAATAAGTTCAGAAAAATAACTAAGATGCCAAAGTGGATAGCCACATGTTTTGGTACAACTACATGTGTAATTAGTTGGAAAAAATATTACACTTACTCATACCACTGTTTATTGTGTTTTCGGTAAAGCAACATATCCAAGGCAACAGCATTGACATCCGAGCTCCTGGGGAAGGCCACTGGTTGGAGAGGTGGGCAGTTAACTCTTGCCTTGATCTTAAATCATTATTCTTTAGCACTGTCCTGTGGATATTAAGATGATGAGTGCTTTTGTCTTTACTCTTTTTCTATTCTCTCAATGGCAGGGAGCCTAACCGGTACTTAGGCCCCTAAGTAATCATTTACAGATGGTATGACTACAGACTGAGCAGAAACACAGCAAGGCTGCCTGGGGCTCGGACTGTTTCCTCTCCTGAAGAGCACATGCTTTTCAGACTCTCTGTGTTGGTTAGGATAAATTACTACTACTGAAAATCACACCTTCTGTCTTCTCCAGTGAGGTGTTGCTAATGAATTAGAGGGTTCATCAGCACTTTAAACTTAAATCAAAAATAACATTATCCTAGATATAGACTATTAGATGCTAGCTAAAACACAGATTCCTAAGGATTTCCTAGTTTAATAACTTGGAGTAATAATTGAAAGTAATTTAACTCAAGTAAAAAAGATAAGTTATTTCAATGAAAAAGTAGAAATATATGAAATTTTAAAATGCATGCAATACATTTTAAGGAATATTTTTATCTTAAAAATTCATTTACTCATTTCCATTTTAATTTTTTAATTATGTCTGTATGTGTATGTGTCTGCATGTGGTATGAGAACATGAATACTGAGCCTTTTGGGGCCAGAAGAGGACTTCTGGTTCCATGGAGCTGTCTGATGAGGATGGTGAGATCTAAACTCAGGTCCTCTTCAGGGGCAACACTTGCTGCTCTTAACTGCCAAGCCATCTCTACAAATCCATAAAACTGTTTTTGATAGAAATGACTATTAATAAAGTTTTATGAAAATAATGAAATTAATGCTAAAACTGTACTGACTGCAATAATCAACTGACAATGTTTTAACATGTTTTTCTTCACTTTTTAAAGAACTATTACTTGACAGGAGCAACTTGCAAAAGATTTAAAATTTTGGCAAAATTTCAATTTAGACAAACCAACTGACTATTGTCATGAGTTCAATTCAACATTGAAATTGATTTAAAAAATTAAAAGCAATCATCTTACTGTATCTCTAAAACCTTACAGAACATCTTGGCAGCATGTATTCTCAAACAGGAGTCTATGACCTTTGTATACTGTCAAGGGAAGGAAAGTTATGTATGCCTACTGCTAACCTCTACCCTACTAACTAACCCACAGTCCTGTTCTGGGTGCTAGAGAGGGGACACTGAGTAGTTGGCAGCACAATCCTACACTAAAGATAACTGGCCAGCACAATCATCTAAGTGCCAATACATAATAACCATGATTATATGTCTCTAATGGGCTATGGTATATTTCTGATTTCACACAGCATAAAGTAACTGTATGTTAAAATACATGTTTTACTATATACAGTAAGAAACATAATCTAATATGTCACTAGACTTTTGTCTCATTAAACTAGAAAGTCAGTGAGAATGAAACTTACTCAGACACTTTTTTTTCTGCCACAATTCTTTTCACTAGAAACAGACTTAAAACTCATTTAAAGGCTTTCAAGGTATTTTAACATTGTTTACTTACTAAAGACAAAATTTTACAGCAGTTTTAAGATTGTTAGAAAAAGAAGTAATAAAGATTACTGGCCTGATAATCTACCACAATGTTTTGCACTATTTGAGCTTTCTTAGTAGATATTTATATATTATGTATTTGCTGCACTGGAGGTTTATAGTGAATACCAATGGAGAACTCAAGTTCTATGTCATGAGCATATCTCAGGCAACATTCCCACCAGGGTGTGAGAAATGTAATTGTGCCTATGTTAACACTGGCAGAGTTTGTTAAGGGTGAGTCACATCACAATTCCCAATTTATAAAGCAGTTTCTTTTGCAAAGGGAAGCAACTTTAGATATCATAAAACAAAACTTGTTTCACAAAGGTTACAACACGAAAGTTGTCCAGAACCAAACTTTTGCCTAAACCAAAACTTTTGCCTAAAACCAAATTCAGGAATTATCACATATTTAGTGTATTGGTATATAGGGGTATAAGGATAACTTAAGAGTTTGTTCTCTCCTTCCATCATATGGGCTGTGGGAAAAAAAAGCTAAGGTCATCAAGTTTGGGAACAACTGCCTTCACTAACTGAATCATCTTGCTGGCCCTCAGTAATATCTTTAGACCTTTGTCCTTAGAAATCTCAATGGTATGTTTCTTTGCACAGCTACTTGGTCCCTTGAAAAGAGATAAGAGACCTCAGTGTGTGGCATAGTTTTGGTTCAGGTAGTACCTAATCAACACTTTTTATGGGAAATGTGCAAATAGGAAGTCCTGGCATTTGCCCTACTCCTATGAAACAAAGAGGCCCCTAGAGAATTCTTGTACAGTAAACTGTAGGTAAGTTTCCATTCTTGGGTACACCACAGAACAGGCAAATGAGTTAAGTTACATTAAAAATTCCATTCCATATTTTAGATATTGACAAGGATCTAATCTGAGTGACAAATAAGGAGGGCTATTCATGTGTGGGCCCTGATTAAGATCAGCAGAGAACTTTCCATAGTTTCTACTTTCAGCTTACTTGTCTCTAGACATACTTCTCCATTCTACTATCCTGAAAACTTGTAGCAGTTTCCCAGTAAATGTCATTGTACCCAAGAATTAACTGCAGATGTTTTCAAACTAAACAATCCCATAATTTCCCTTAAAATCATACCAAATTCAAAGCAAGATCTATTCAAAGTGAATCAAACAGGGTTTGTAAAGAGGAGCCTAGCTTAAAAGTAACTTTACATTAAATTACCAAATACCATGTTAAATCAGTGACTAATGATAAATACGTATTATTTCACATTCCACTAAAAACTAGTATAGAAATTAATTGGCTAATCTAAATGCAGAAACATTCTATATGATTGAAATAAACCAACTTATCACTCACAAAAAGGGAAAGATTCTACAGAAAGGATCACTAAAGAAAAATTTTAATCAAACAACAATTTTATATATATATATATATATATATATATATATATATATATATATCAGTTAAATTTGAAAACTTTTATGGTATTTATCTCTAAATAAATAAAAGCTCATTTCTCTTAGGATTTTTAACAGAAAGTATCAGGGAATTTCATACCTCAATGTAATTCAGTCTTGACGAATATAAAGATTAAAAGATCAATAAAGAAAGAACTTCATTACATGGATTTTTAAGCTGGATTTAGCCCATGAAGCTTAACCATTCTGATATATCTGATACTGAGCAGTGACATCAAGAGGTAAGTTAGGTTCAAAGTCCCTAAAGGAAGGAAACTTGTCCCAAATCTAAGTTTACTTAGATTTTTACTTACTATTGAAAAGTTATCATCTTCTTGCCTATGTCCTTTAAACACTAATCATATCTCAGCTGTATTTTAAAAGTCCAAATTCTAGGGCTTGGTGGTTAGAAGTACTTGTTGTTCTCCAAGGGACTCAAATTTGGTTCCCAGGACCCATGTGGGTAGCCGTTTCTGGCCTTTGAGGATAATACACTCACAAATGTACATAAAGAAAAATAAAAATATTTTTTAAAATGCAAATTCTATCCATTCCTCAAAACTGACTTCTCTTTCTGATTCTCCCATGAAGATTTTTAGCCATTTTACTTGACCACTGTAATATATTCTAAGAAGGTCATCCTCTCTCCTTTATCTTATTCATTTCTCAGATCAAAGGCATGCTTGTGTTCACGATGACCTCACACTTATATCAGTTGGATAAATACTATAAAATTTATGATCCTGTGCCCTAAGGGAGTTAACATCTGTGGTTCCAAGTATTCATAAAAGTCCAAAAGGTCCATGATGTGAAGCAATTTTAGTTTTTCAAGATAGGGTTTCTCTATGTAGCTTTGGCTTTCCTGGAACTCACTTTGCAGAAATATTCTATATGTTTCGAACTCATAGAGATCCATCTGCCTCTGCCTCCACAGTGCTGGGATCAAAAGCATGTGCTACTACCTCCTGGCAATATGAAACAATCTTTAATTATGATAAAATAAAACATTTGACTCATGGAAGTCAAGATGTAAGTTTTAAAGTTGACTATCAAATTGCACCAGGACTGACTATTTTTTGAATGCATCCATCCAGAAGCATTTTTTGGGAACTAACTTACTTCCAAAGGCAAAAGTGTTGCAGATGATGCTCATAGGAGATGTTTAAGTCACAGACTAATATACTAATGCCACTTAATCCATGCATGGACCAACCAATGGGCTTGAGAGTACTTAGATATCTTACTTGTTCTTCTTATGTCTTTTTATCTTCTACTGGGGGTGACAGCACAAGAATGACCTTCATCACATACTGGTGTCATGCTTTTGGATTTTCTGACTCTAGAACTGTGTTCTTTACAAACTGCAGTTCTGGGTACCCTGTTACAGCATCAGAGAATGAACTGAGATAGCACTCCAGTAAACTTGAGACTTCCTACCTATGACTTGTCTAATGTGCCTCGATTCGTGGTTTGTATTCCACTTTTCTGAGTCATGGCATACTGAAAAAAATCCCTTTATGAAATTGAAGAATATATTACAACTATAGTAATGCAGATTTTTAACTGAAGTTCAAAGAAAGAAAGAGAAAGTCACCAAAGATGAAGTAACTTCACTAGAAATTACTAATACCAGGGGGAATTTGAACCATCATCCATATTTACTAGACTACTCTTAGCCACTGCTCTAAAGCAAGGCAGCACTGTGAAGGCAGAGAGTTTTACCTGCTCTTCTGTCACCAGCACATGGGATTCGGCCTGCCTAATCATATAATTTTTTCAATTAATGCTTACCAAATGAATGTGAGAGCATTTAAAAAAGGCAAACATTAAACACAAGCAAGAGTAATGAGAATGAGTATAGTTTTATCCATGGAATGTTTTATAGAAATCGGAGAGCCCCAATCAGTAAAGCTCTCCATATACAGTTCTAGCTAGTAGGTAATGAAGGATTAACAATGAGGTAGCACCACTGCATAAACCCCAATTAATCAATGACTGAACTGCTTTAGGTATTGTTCACT